AATTTTTTAAAATTTTAATTTAAGAACATTTTTAAAAATTAAAAAAAATATTGTCTTACTACAGTACTCAAATGATTGGGTTAACCACCAACTTAGTGATTTTCACTGTTTTCAGAGTTGTGACACCCTATTAGGCTTTAATTTTGGTGATATCCCTGCTCTAACTCACTGTTCAGTGCTGTGTGGTAGATACTTACTAATATTTAAAGCAGTTTTGAGCATTTATGAAACAAAAGTTAGAATGCTACAAAATTAGGACTGGGAATTGTTGCATGGAGAAAAGTTGCCTTTTGTGTGTAAAAGCAATTATTTTAACATGGTGGGATGAAAACATCATAGGACTGGTAAATCAAAATACATTTACGTAGATGACACTTATTAAATTCTGGTGTATTCCCTGGAGAATACATTGGAAAAATAAGAACACAGTTTGATCAGGTAGCAGTGTTCCCCAAGATGCTGTAAATATGATTAACCAGCAGCTCAGATTTTTCATTCTTCTGGTCATAAGTTGATTCTCTTAGAATAATGATTTTTAAAATTAAAGGAGAGAACGTTCAAAGGGAAAAACAAATATATATGGTCTGACACTCACATAGATGGCAGTGGGAATCTCAGTTGGGCTTCACAGGTAAGTCCATGATGCTTTGCCCAGCTCATGGGAGTGAAAACCTGTACCCGTCCCCTCCAGAATTGTTAGTCTCTTTGTTAATCAGATGGGACTTAATTTTGTATGGTCTCAATAAAACATTCACATAATTACATAGTTCCTTAATACATAGCTGGTTTCCAAATGGCGGGATGTATCACAAAGTGAGTAATAGTGATTCTGGGAAGAACATGACTAGTTGCCTCATCTCAGGGGGTAAAGATTGTGGAGATCTGTGCTGCTCAAAGGCCCGCCTTCCTCTGACACCCTTAGGCCAGTTTCCAATGTGCCTGATCCACCAGAGTGCATCCAGCTTCCCTGGGCCTGCTTGCTCTGCACCGGAGGGTGTAGAATTAATCATACTGCTCTCACCTTTGGTTCAGATCTCTGTTTATTTTTTAAAAGGATTTCCCTTCCTCTCTCCCTCTTTTCCAACTTCTCCTTGGGACTCAGAGACATCCAATTCTGGAGGTCCCACACATACGCTCTTCAGCCTCCCAAGAGGCTAGGCAGCTCTTTCAAAATCAGGATTTGCTTAGAATCCTCCGGGGTGGATGGGGGAAGAACTTGTGAGGTTTTAGATTGTACTTAGTCCGGTTGGAATCTTTTCAGTTGCAAAACGCATAATCGAAGAATAGCCAGAAACTGCTCGTTTATGTATTTGTTCTTGCAACAAATATTTTTGAATGGAAAAGTTACAATGTGCTGCTGTGTACTTGGTGCTGAAGATCCAGCAGCAAATAGAAATGGCTTTTGCCTTTAGGGAACTTACATGCTGGCGGGAAATAAGTGGGGAAGATGAATGGGTAAAGAAAGGAGTTATGACACAGAAGGAGGAGGTGGTTGTGGACAGGAGTTTGTTTTAGAAAAACAGGAGTTGTTGTTTTTTTAGTATATTTTATTGCTTTTTACAGAGAGGAAGGGAGAGGGATAGAGAGTTAGAAACATGGATCAGCTGCCTCCTGCACACCCCCTACTGGGGATGTGCCCAGCAACCAAGGTACATGCCCTTGACCGGAATCGAACCTGGGACCCCTTAGTCCGCAGGCCGACGCTCCATTCACTGAAACAAACTGTAAAGAAAAGCAGGAGTTTTTCTAAGCAAAGACACAAGCCTGTGCAACGGTGTGGAGATAGGAGAGAGCAGCCTGATTGGAACTGCGTGTGGCTCCTTGTGTGTATGTGGGGAACGAGAAGACAAGGAGTAAATGTGGCTGTCGGTGGTAAAGGAAGAACACAAGATAATGTCCCAGAGTTAAAAGACATGACGTACAGACAGAGTTCACTCAGTGCCCTATCAATGACTGCAAAAGACGCAGTCCTAAGCGTGTGTGATTAATTTCAGGATTCCAGGGATGAATACAAGATCCTAAAAGCTTTCAGAAAGGAAAAGATATGTAAAAAGGATTAGTAACCAGAGCAGCATCAGACTGCTCTACAGCCACATTAGAAACTAGACTATGAAGTAATGCTTCCGAAATTATTTCCTACCTAAAATTGCATACCCAGCTGGGACTCCAATCAAGACATTTTGAGACACACTGATTCTCAAAAAAATTACATAGGGCACTCTATTCAGGTAGCTAACGGGAGATGTGCACTGTCAACTGAGAAAGTAAACCGAGGAAGAGAAGCCAGGAGAAGCAAGGACAGGTGTTCACAGAGGAAAATGTGAAGGAAATTCTTAGGATGATGGTAAAGGAAAGGGAAGTTACAGTTCACGTCAGGCCTCCAGAGCAACCATTCTAGCCAGGTTGAATCAGGGTGAAGGGTAAGGAGGAATGTCTCCAAGGAAAGAACAGAATAAAAAAATTACCTGATGTTTTTACTTTATTGAGAGTAATTTTGCAGTTCTTGGAAGAATTTGATGAGGTTAATAAGTGTTAGGTATATAAGAAGCTAAGCAAACAACAACAAAGCAACTAATAACTCTAGGAGAATCAAAGAGTTATCCAAGAAAGAAAAAGTTATTCAATTCTACATAGCACTCCTGGGAATAATATTTACTTTGTCAGACTACTGTAAACCCTGAATATTGACTAGAGTCTAGTCACTAGACTAAATGTTACCGTATAATTGGAAGCTGGGAGGATTAGGCAAGTGTGGCATACTGTGTGCAAAGAGATTAAGGGTAGTATATGAGGACTAAAGCCTTATCTTCCACTGACAGAAATTAATAGGTAATATCTAAAATGGAACAACCAAGAAATTGCAATATAAACACATTTTTTTTAGAAATACAGAGGTATATACCAGAAGAAAATGCTAAAGGAGTTGAAATTAGTTCTCTCTGGGGAGAGAATCCAGTGAGGAGAGGGGTGGGCATAGGAGTTCTAATTTTATTGTAAGCTTTGTAGTTCTATTTTCTTTTTTGTATTTTTATAAAAATGGTCAATAAAAATATAGGACTAGCATCTGTAACACTGAGGGAATCTTGCAATGGTGTTTTGCATTCTGTTGAACAAACTATTTAGCTTCCGTGTACCTATCTTTACCACATTCCTAAATTTTACCCACACTTATTTCTTTTATCTGATTAACTAAATATGAATTGAAGCGAAAGTTAGTAAGATAAATTATTGGCTCAAATATGTGTATGGACTGCCCCTGGGTGCTCGGTATTTTCTGCCTCTATTTTTACGTAGATGCTAAGTTACCTTTTCAACGTTAGAGGATAAACAGTCTCCCCTCTTACCTTCTCCCCAAAGTAGAGCAGAGCTTGACTTCACATAAGAAATCACCATTCTTCCTGCTCTCCTAAAATGGGATTGCTAGTCAGCTGCACAGTAAGATCTCTGAGTTGCCTGCTTACATCACTCAGCAAAGCTGCAAGCTGTTTATAAAGAAATGCTGTCAGTTTGATAGAAACTGCCCCCTCCACCTCTTTATTTTGAAAATAATCAACTCCCACAGAAAGATGACCAGAGTAGTAAAATGCCCATGCACTTTCATCTAGATTTGCTAGTTCTTAACATTTTGCCACGTTTGCTCCCCCTCTCTCTATACCCATTTTTTTGAGGGAGGGGGAGTTGAATAATTTTAAATTAAGCTGTAGGTAGCAGACTTTAATATGTCTACTAGCATATCTCCCAACAAGGACATCCTCAAACTAAACGAAAATACCGTTATTTGCCATAGATAATTTAATATTGTCTAAATTATAGTACATATTCAGATTTTCCTAAAACCCCAGTGATACTTTCTGTAGATTGTTTTTGATCCCAAATCCAGTGATCACGCAGTGCATTTAGTCATTATGTTTCTTTAAGTCCTCCTTATTCTAGAAGTTTCCCTGCTTTAGAAAAAAAAATCTTTCATGACATTGACAGTTAGGAGGAGGCCAGGCCAGCTGTTTTGTCGAGTGTCCTGTCCACGTGTTGCCTTTTTGCTCCCTCATTGTAAGATTCTGGTTTACAGTGTTGGCGAGAGTATGTACACAAGCTTTCTCAGCCACCTGCTTTTTATGCACGTTCAGAATTACAGTGTTCTGCTTTCTTGTTTGTATGTTTTTGTTTTGTGTTCCCTGCTAATCTGTGGTTTGGCCTGGAGTGGGGAGGGTGAACACTTACCTGGTGCGTCGTAAAAACACCTGAGGCTGCAGAAAATGTCACTCGAATAATCTCGGGGAGGGGACATCCGTTCCTCTGGAAACAAGCATAATATTTTTGTTCAGCATTCTTGGCAGAGGTCGTTGGATGACTTAATATACTGTAATCAGGGCAAGTTTTCTCCTCTTTAATTAAGTTTCTGCTGCAGTGCACAGTCCAGGGAGCCACTTGGAAAAACACTTGGCCAGCTTCCCTGTCATCCCTAACCTGAACGCTTTTGCTTTTGGGCCCCGAACGCTGACTGCGTTCAGTGTGCAGCGTCTGGCTCCCCTCGGCCAGGATGCTCAGTGGCTTAGGTTATGTGTATTTTGCGTGAAGTGAGCACAACGTGGAGAGATGGCGTGCCTCACATGCCAGGGGAGCTAGGCCAGCTCCCGCGGAAGGCACGCTTCCCGGCCGCCCCGGCTTCCTGATAGGAGACCTGGTGACACAGTAGCCTTTAGGCAGAGCTGGGGATGTGCAGGAAGTGCGGCTACAGGTTTTGTCAGGGGGGAAATCTGAGCCATTTCTCTGCCGACAGCTGTGTGGCAGAGTCTGGGCAAGTTGCTGCTGAATTTTGCACGGGCTGCCAGGGTAAGTGTTCTCCTTTTGATTTGTTTATAGTCCTGGTTTGCCTTCTCCTGAGTCATCACGGTTCTTTCTGGAAGTTTCACGGGACTTATTGTACGTGACCTGAAGTGGGATTCAGAGGATTCATTCTGATAGACTTGTAATCCAACTTGTCTTTCTCTTTCTCTCTGCAGAGTTTGTGGAAGTATAATACTTGGTCATTATGCGATGTCGTCTCTCGGTGCCTCCTTTGTGCAAATTAAATTTGATGACTTGCAGTTTTTTGAAAACTGCGGCGGAGGAAGTTTCGGGAGTGTTTATCGAGCCAAATGGATATCACAGGACAAGGAGGTGGCTGTGAAGAAGCTACTCAAAATAGAGAAAGAGGTAAGGTCCTTCCCTGCTCTCACAAGTGGTTACACTGGCGCTTATGTAAGTTTTTCAAGCTCGAGGCAGAGGTCACAGGCTGCCAGGGACCTAGCAAGGCCTTTGGGCCTGATCCGCGAAGCCGTTTCCCAACCTCCATTCCGGGAGCCCCATAAATAGAAAGTGTCGCCGCGTGTGCTTTAGGGTTGATTTCTACTAGGCTCATCTGAACTGAGGGGATTTCTTTCCATGGCATGAAATAGACCGAATGTTCTCTGAACTCTCCCGGAGAGGAGGTAAGATTTCAGACCTTTTCTTTTCCCTCATCAGCCAAGAGGGGGCAGTAAAGAGTAGTGTGTCCAGTTTTCATCCCCCTTCCATTTTCTGGCCGTGAATTTGTGCTCATCAAGAGTTGTCTTTTCAAAAACCAAAAGCACTTCCTACTGAAGCATAAGCAATGCCAGCTTTTTGGATTCCACCTCTGCTTGAGGCCAAAAGTGATGGACCTTGTTTAATAAAGAATTAACAGGTGCCCGACAGAGCTGCCCTGCTTATAAAACCAGAAACGGCTTTCAGAGTCTGGGATATGTGCTGGTCCTAGTCAGGCTCAAAGCTCACGGGCCCTTCATCTTTCTGTGGTGCCGTGTCCCCCAAATTCAGCGTGGTGCCCTGAAGAGTGGGGCTGATGTGGGGCTGACCTGCAGGGGCTCAGTGCCACTGATAATTTTTAGGAGCTACCCTCGGGAGCTTGTTTTGGTCATTTCTATTTTCCTATTCATATTTCTACTAGTCCTGTTGTGGCTAGCTATTGTTCTCTTCAGTATCTTTAAAAGTGAACTTTTCCATAAATATCCTTTAATCTCCCTGAATGGGTTTTTTGGGTTTTTTTTTCATTAATTGCTGTCAGTGCAACCGTAGCAACTGATGAAGGAAGGAAACACAAAGGCAGCGCCGTGCGGCCTTCCCCAGCCCTGCTGTGTGACTGTGATCGCCAGCAGTGGTTCCAGTTGCTGGAGTGGGGTCAGAGAGCTCCCCTCTGCTATGGGGTATCTTGAGGCTGTGGAAAGCTTAGATGTGAAAGCTTTCAGAGCCAAGTACGTGAAGCAGAAGGGTACTATGCGGAACAAGTTTCCTCCTCCTCATTTCTTGATCAGCACAGTTTTAAATAGTAGCCAGGTCATAAGACCATACCTTCCTCTGGACCGAACCTAGCTTTTTGAATCTAGTGAAGTCTTTATAGGAAGCATTGTCATGCACCCTTTTTATCGTGGGAAATAGAGCTTTGAGAAATGTGTGGAGCCTCCCCAGAAGGACAAGTGAGATCCAGGAGATCAGATTCCCTATTTTTTGCTGTTGTTGTTGTTCTTTTCAATTCTGAAACCTCTAGTTGACCAGGTTAAGGGTAGAAAATAAACCAGTTCCGTCACGTTTTAGTCAAAGAAGTATGGAAGTGTGCTATTTTTATACATTAGGTCATGCAACTTCAGTACAACGAACATACTATCTTTATGTGATTGTTGGATGTGAGACTTCATGAGACACGAAATAGATGTTGATAGGAAAACAATAATTGCAACACATTCCCTCCATCCCCCACTCATGCTTAATACCTTTTTCGCTACCTTTGAGAGAGCCAGGAAAATGACACAGGAAAGCACAAGGGTTGTGGCAGGAGCTGGAAACTGCCAGGTGCTGCTCTGGTGTAAGCTTTTAACCTGCGTGGTGTCATTTGGAAATTGAGTTGGTTACAGTAAACTTCAGGAGCATCCTATATAATAAAAGGCTAACATGCAAATCGACTGAACTGGGGAACAACCGGTCTCTATGACACACACTGACCACCAGGGGGCAGACGCTCAATGCAGGGGCTTCTCCCTAGTGGTCAGTGTGCTCCTACGGGGGAGTGCCGCTCAGCCAGAAGCTGGGCTCATGGCTGGCGAGCAGCGGCGGTGGCGGGAGCCTCTTCTGCCTCCACGGCAGCACTAAGAATGTCTGACTGATGGCTTAGGCCTGCTCTGGGGGCCGGGAGGAGCCATCAGTCGGACATCCCGCAAGGGCTCCCGCACTGTGAGAGGGCGCAGGCCAGGCTGAGGGACCCCCACCCCCTGAGTGCATGAATTTTGTGCACCAGGCCTCTGGTAACTCATAACTTGTAAGTAAAGAAAACAAATTCTATTTCAGCTTTGGGGCTTGGTTTAGTCAGTGATTATCAGTGATAAAGAGATATGGTAAATTATTACAGAGCAATATTGCATCCCACACCTACTGAATCAACAAGAGTGTAAGATGCAGAAAATTTTTGCTTAGGGATGGCAGTTATTGGAAAGGAAATAGGCATTTCTTATGCAAATATTTGTTATACTTTATGAGGTAGGTATTGGCTTGCTGCCTAGGTGTTTTCTAAGTGGTAAGATAAAGGTAATTAGCTCTGTATTTTATTTTATAGATTCAGTTTCATGTCACTTGGTCATTTTTGCCAATGAGTTTTAGAAGCAATGGAATATTTAATAATGTGTACGTGGCTCACACATGTAATTCTTTAATTAAATATATGTTATGAACTTAGTAAAAGAAGGAGAAAATATAGACCAAACTCTTTAATGTTGCTTATGTAAGAGGATAGAGAAAGACTATTGATTTTCACTTCATTTGTAGACCTCTAGTTTAGTGAGTATATATTGCTCTCCTCTGCTTTAGTGCATACATCTGGATTGCTGCAATCAGTGACATGCTCCTGTTAGAAATGTAATTTGGTAAACTTTTAGAGAAGAGTTTGGCAAAATCTATTTAAAAATCTTAAAATATTTCCTTTGAGACAGAAATTTTACTTCTGGGACTTTATCCTTGGAAATAGGAAATAATCAGAGATGTGCAGAAAGATGGATATAACAGGCTGTTGTTCATCCAACATGTAGAATGGTGAGGAATTAGAAACCCAAGTATCCTTTAACAAAATATCTTTTAAATTATGGTACATCTCATGTGAAGAGTATGCTAATGAACTCAGTATACGTATATTAAACTCATTGTTTTGTTCATCTTAAATATGTTACAATTTTATTCATCAATTATACCTCAGTAAAGCTGAAAAAATGATGCTACATTTGTACAGTGGAATTCCATTGCATTTGGAAGAATATTTAAAGAGTTAGGAAAATGCATATGATACACTGCTAACTGGTTAACAAGTTATAAAACATTTTAATATGATCCCAGTTGTCTGCTTGGTGTCTGTTTTATTTTCTGATACTTTCTTTGTTTTCCATATTTTTCTATGATGATCTTATGCCCCCCCCAACATTTTATTATGAAAATTTTCAAAAATAAAGAAAAGTTTCAAAAGTTTTACAGTGAACACCTGTGTATCTGCCATCCAGGGTCTGTCATTAACATCAATATTTGCTTTGTCTCGTATATACCCAGCTATGTATCCTTCCATTCATCAGTCCACTTTGATGGCATTTCAAAGTAAGCTACAGGCATCAATACATTTCCCCTTAAGTTCCTGTAAAGCATGCCTATTACTACCAGAGTTCAGTATGTGTTTGTAGTTTTGTTTTCTTTTGAGATAAAATTTACATACAATGAAATGCATGTATCACTCAGTTTTGACAAATGTGAGCCAATGTGACCCATATATTTACTTTTATAATTAAATTATAAAGTATAATTAAATTTTAATATAATTTAAAAAACACAATTTAAAAAAGAGTAGCTCTGACAAACTGTGGCACTCTCTAAGGTTGTTCCAGGGAATTGAGTTTTATAAACCTCTTTAGTATGTCACAAATTACTAATTTTTCAGTCTCCATATGTTCCTCTAAAATGCTTAATCTGTCCTTTTCCATAACAGTGCTACAGGACCTGCAGTGGTGATTTAGCTTGTTTATGTTAGTTACAGGTTTACCTATAGTGCACTATTTATTTTTGTTTTAAAAACGTCTACAACAGGAAAAAATGATCTGAAGAATATATACCAAAAGTAAGAGAAGAAGCCATTATTGTATCTTTTTGGAAAATTTCAGTTGAGCCGAGATCAAACCAAATTGCTGAGGCTGAAATTGAAGCAAGGAGTGGAGAGGGCAAAGAAGGCCATTGTGGACCAGTGTGTCCCCTTCCAATGACTGCTGGCCCAGGGAACAGTCCACACAAGTATTCATCAGCCTCCCAGCGGGGGCTGTAGAACGGTTCCTCCGAACAGCTTCATTTTACCCGTGCTGTACATTTGATGACATGTAGAACCAGACCTGTCTGTACATGGTATTTTTTTTTCCATCTGAGAGATGGAAACCTGCAAGCATTTGCATTAACTTGGGATTTGATATTCAACTGATAGTAGAAAACCAGATTTAAGTATGAGATGTGAACGAAACACGATTGCTTTTCATTTTCCCAAAAGAATTGAAAGGAAGTTCAATCCTCAAGAGATAAAATATGAGGCTTTTTCTGCATTTGCCTTGCTTTTTGCAAGGCACCACTTCCTTTATTTAAAAAAACATTTTTTTCCTTCCATATCTGACTGTTGTGGAAATGTTGAAAGCCATATAAGTTTAAATTTCAAAACTGTCCCACATTGTAAATATTTATAAAGAGAGCTCAAAAATGTCAAAAACTGATGATAAGAACAGGAGCTACCAGTAACTTTTTATATAAAAGGGGAATATACATGTGAAATAGAAAACACAGTCTTAATATTGACACAAAACTAGGAAAGAATGAGAAATAAAAGCTTCTGTTATGCAAATTCTATCAACATGACAGCATTTAGTGCTTCATAAAAACCTAGTTAATGTTGTTACTACTTTGTTAGTTCATAGGAGAGAGGCCCTCTTTTCTTTGTAGTTCTGTCACTGGCTTTTTATTAATAAATTATTTGCATTTGCTTTAGTTGTAGAAATGCTGTTGTAATGTTTTCCCCTGTCCCTGAACACAATAAAGAGAATTACACATTTACCTTCTTTGTAAATCCTCGCCTGCCTCGCCTGCCTCACCGTAACGTACTTGTTCCTTGCTGCTTGGCA